CACCTAAAAACAATTGTGCTCCTTGTAAGAAGGACATGCTCAACCAAGTTCCCTTGTTCTTTGTGTACCTTTCTGCATATTAGTGAATGTAATTTCAACCACATTCTTCCTGAGGGCAAACTGCCTTTCTTTGAGTTTGTCTGGACTTGTCTAAATATAGCCACATTGTTGGTTTAACGACTAGCACACACTAGGGAATTAGAGTAAAGTACTACAATGATGCTTTAAAATATGCCAAGACTCAAAATGGAGTTAAAGGCTTCCGGTAAGAACTCCAGTCTTCCAGAAACCAAGTGTTCTAGAATTTGAACTCATAAAAAGGGAGAAAATAATTATTAAAAGCAATTTTCCCCAAAGAAAAATCAACTCTTTAGGTTAATTAACATCTATCTAACAGGTGGTCAGCCATTCAGGATTCATTGCTATGTCAATGATATTCCTCTGAAGTAATTTTGTATGTCATAACCTGTGACAGGGAAAGACTCATATTTTGGAAACTGCATTTAATTCCTTCACAATAAAGAATGAAAGAAGAGAGAGAAGTTACTGTTATCAGTCATTCAAAAGGCTTTGTTATCAAGACTTATTTATCAATCTTCATTGAAGATTTTCTGGTTCACACCTCTTTTCAACTGCACACCATACATTCCTTCTTGACTATGACCAAATGACCAAAGATCTATTTTCTGAACTGTAACCAGTCATCCTTTCAAAATTCAGATCTTATCATATCATGTTATTAAAGTGCTTTTTATTAAAGAGTCTTTTCTTTGTACTTCTGTGCTTATAAAACACCAAATGCCCATTTTTGCCCGAAAGTCTCTGCAGCATATATTCTTGCCTGTATTTCATTAGCCTCACAAAAGCCGGTTTTCACCTTTCTAATTCCTGCCATCTTCCCACTCTCCCTTGAATTCTGGGCCAAATCACCCCTTCTCAGGCCCTCGTGTACCAAATTATTAGTGTTAAGAAGATCCCGAGTGACAAGTCTCTCAGCCTTGTGAGAGAGGATTTTAATAGGTTTTCAGTTATAAATGCTTTAATCCTTTTTTATTATTGTTCATAATCATTACTGCCCTAATTTTTCCCTTGTGTATGTGCTCCCAGGACATGTAGCTGAAGGACTTGTTTATTAAAACTAGTTGACAGGAAGGAAACCAGAGGAAAGAAAGTGTCTGACACCCAAGTGTCTTCATTAACACAAACCTTTATTTGAAGGGTAGCAAGGAGCTGGAAGGGGATATAAAGGAGCTTGAGCTGGAAGGGGATATAAAGCTTTGATAAAAGAATGTGGCAATAACAATGGGTTAATATCCAGAAGGCTATAACCTTTCACTTCTTTTCACTTTCCTGACAGCATAGGTGGTCATTAACTATAACTTATCAGTAAAAAAGACTTAGTCATATCTCTTTTAGGGATAATTTGTCTCAACTCAAACTGTTTAAAGTTTGCTCAGAAGAATATAAATACTCCAAAAATACCAGTGAATCCGCCGCAGTATTTCAGCGAAGGAAGGAGCTTGCTGCCTCTCAGATCTGTCAATAAAATGTATATGGATTCTTACCCAGTCTCTGTTATTGGCTGCAGCAGCGGTTAGTCGAACTTTTGTCCAGTAACACTTGAAATCTGTGGGCAGTGGGTTAAGGGTTGGGCTGCTAACTGCAATGTGGGCAACTCACCAGCTGCTGTGGGAGAGAATGATGTGGCTGTCTGCACCGAAAAACAGTTATAGTCTGGGAAATACTGAGGAGCAGGTCTTCCCTGCCCCATTAGGGTCACTGTGAGCCAGAATCATCTTGACAGCATTGGGGTTTTTGGTTTACATTGCCTGTACCTCTCTTGGAAGTAAGTATCTTTAAATATTACTGATATTACAGGTATAAAGTATTTCTACTTCCATAGATGAGTGGACCTAGGTTCAAACATGATAAGAATTATCCAATATGATAGTGGTTGGAACTGAGACATAGGAATCTACCATTAATACCAGTTGCTCTGGATTTAACTCTGACTCATGGTCATCATCTATGTATCAGAAAAGAACTGTGTTCCATGGAGTGAGTTTTCTGTAGCGGGTCTTTTTTTTTTTTTTTAAATGATAAAATGGGTAGGTATTATTTTATTTATTTAAACTAATATTTATAAATCAGCCAGCCATACTGGTACTATTCTTACCAAAATACAAAACAAACATCTTTCTGCAAATATTTAAATAATGAACAAGTTAGGGTCTACAGTTAAACAGAGGAGGAGGATGGAGAAAATCAATGAAGTGCCTTTATAAACCTAATCCTACACTCTAAATTATCTATTAAGCAGCTTCCCAAATACTATAAAATACTAACAGTCCTTCATCACATATCTTTGTACTTTGTACTTGAGGCTCTAGCCTCAAGATATCAATATGGAAATCTGGGTCTTATTGATCCCCTTCTAAAAATGCACAATGGGAGTCCTGGCGTGGCACTGTGGGTTAATGCGCTGGTGGACTGCAAGGTCACTTTGAACCACAAGGTCAGCGGTTCAAGCTCACCAGCTGCTCCTCGGAAACCCCACACAGGGTTGCTATGAGTCAGAACCCACTGCATTCAACAACAAATCTACACAATTAAAAGCAGGATTATCAAGGCAGAACTGCATAGTTCTGAAACAAGAAGTCCTATGAGAAAGGAAGCAATGGAGCCATTGCCCAGATTGACGTGGAATTCAGGTTGTATGTTCATGGAGTCATTTAGGAATAAATTTATGGTTTGTGAGGCCTCCAAATCACTGGCAGAATTTTGCTGGAACTGGGGCATCAGGAATTCCCCCCCACCGCCTACAGTTCTGAAACTGTTTGTTCCAGGCTTGATTGTTCCAAGATTGATTACTCCAGGCTTGGGTGCACCAAGCCTGGCTGCTGTTCCAAGTCTGGTTGCTCCAGGTTTGGCTGCTCCAGGTCTGGTTGCTCCAAGCCTGGCTGTTCTAGCTCTGGTTGCTCCACATTGGAAGGTTTCCAGAAGGAAGGCTTCCCTGGTGATAGGAAGCATAGAGATCCAGGTATTCAGCAGACACAGAGACCTTCTGAACCACACCATTGCTACTGTTTGGCCATTTGGTGTTTTTCTGCTACCTTTTATAGTTCATTCTTTGGTTTTGGAGCCGGTCTTAACTTGTTTTTAGCTAAGTTTCAGGACTTCAGAAAGGTCTTGCATCTGCTGGAGGCCGAGGTATTTCTGTTTCTAAAATCTATCTTGGAGTATGCACAGCTGTGTCTGAGAGAACACAATTCTGACCTTCTGTTTCCTGCCATGGCCTTTACCTTCTCTTCATTGTGCTTTTCTCTATAGTAGTGGGCAGTTTTACTTTGGGACTTGTTGAAGAATCAGGACTATCCTGATTAAGCAGATCAGTCTCTGAGTAGAGTGCCTCCACAGAGACATTTGCACGGATGTATAGTTTAGCATAGTGGTTACAAATTGGGCTATGAACCTCAGGGTCAGCAGTTCGAAACTACCAGCTATTCCGCGGGAGAAAGATAAGGCTTTCTTCTCCAGTAAAGAGTTACAGCCTCGGAAACCCTGTACAGGGTCGCTATGAGTCAGAACCTACTCCACGGCACATAACAACAACAGTTTTCTTCAACCTCCAAAATAGTAAATAATGGTGAAGAGTCCCTAAAATCACAAGCCTCAGGCAGGCTTTGAGGAGACATTAGATCCACTGCACTCCTGCTGTTGGGTAGAAGGGAGGGAGGGAGGAAAAAAAAAAAAAAAAAAAGACCTAGACTGAGTAAATCCAAGTTAATTTGAAAGGTGCTTTGAGTGCGTGTTCTGAAAGTCCTCAGATATAAAAAGCATTAAAAGGCTGAGATGAAAAGAATTGTCTCAACATCAACTGGAGACCAGCCCCATTGAGCAAAAATGAAGAATTTGAAGTCTTGTAGCTCTGGAGCATAGTGGTTATGAATCGGGCTGTGAAACTTAAGGTCAGCAGTTGGAAACTACCAGCTGTTCTGCAAGAGAAAGATGAGGCTTTCTGCTCCTGTAAAGATTTACAGCCTCAGAAACCTTGTACAGGGTTGCTGTGAGTCAGAATCGACTCCACAGCACATACCAATGACAACAGCTGATTTTTTTTAGAAGTGTGTGAGTAGGCCTTTCTTCCACCTCTGTTGTTAAGCGCCATCAAGTCGGTTTGGACTCATAGTGACCCTGCATAGGGTTTCCCTGGAGCGGCTGGTGAATTTGAACTTCAGATTTTATGGTTCAAACCAACCTTGTGGTCCATTGCATTTTCCCACTACCAGGAAATTTTCTCCCTCATATTTTATTTTGAAATTTTTAAATCTACATAAAAGTTGAAGGGATGTATCTTTGTCTGGCTTTACTATGGTTAACCTTTTGTCATATTGTTTTCTCTGCTTATATATGATTTTTGTTGTTTGTTGTTGAACCTTCTGAAATACAACAATTCAAGTTTCTAGATGTATATTTCATTGACATTGATTATAGTCGTACAGTTGTTCAACTACTTTCATCCTCCTTTCCTGAGTTAGTCCTCCTCTATTAGTGTAAACTCCCTGTCGTTTGTGATTCTTGTGAGCATTTTTAAGTACATTGCTGATTGTGGGATCTGATTTTTTCAACTTTATCTTATTTTGCTCACTGGAAGGATTCCTTGTCTTGGACCTGTGGCTACTTTATTGAACATAAAAGCATCAAGCTTGACTTTAAATCATTCAGCAGGAGGAGTTACTGCCTAGTTAATAAGTTCAAATATGCAATAGACTGCAGTTTCTGGAGTAATTTCAGCAGCTGACTTTGGAGCTCAGAAGCACAATGGTCTAAAGAAGTCTCTAAAATTTTAGAAGGCTACTATCAACATGTCAAAGCAGTGAAACAGAAAGCTGTTTAGTCTGAGGTCTGGAGAGGATATCAACTTCTAAGTCTTGAGCTCTAGGGAGCCAGGCGTCATTAAAGGAAGTGTTACCTTACCCATTACCTTTCTTGACAGTGCAATGGAGTATGTGACAGTGTTGGAAGATCTCCAGACAGAGTCTAGCTGCCCCATCTGTCTGGATTATTTGCAAGGCTCAGTGGCCCTCAAATATAGACATAATTTCTGTCTCTTCCTGCATCCAAGTGTCCTGGAAGAATAGAGACAATGTCTTCCCCTGCCTTTTTGCCATTTTCAAGCTCTAGAAAGAAAGTTCAGGAGAAATCATCAGCTAGCTAATTTGCCTGAAATTGTTAAACAAGTCCAAATCAGAAGAAGCAAGAGGAAGAGGAAGGAAGAGACTCTTGTATGTGAAAAGCACAATCAGGTTCTGAGAGTTTTTTGTCAGAATGACTTAAAGGCTTTATGTCTGCAGTGTAGTTTCTCCATTGATTACCAAAATCACTATGGCCCATCGAGAAAGCTGCCCAGGATCACAGGAAAATATTGAAATGTTACATAGAGCCCTGGAGAGAGAAAATGAAACATGGTGAAGAAAATGAAAACTCTGAAAAACAGAAAATCATTGGAACTAAAGAAGGAAGTAGAATATCGACAAGAAGAAACAAAATCCGAATTTGAGGAATTTACATTGTTTCTCACAGATCAGAAAGAAACTGTTCTTAAGTAACTAAAAGATGAAGAAAAAGACATTTTATCAAAACATAATGAAAATCTAACACAAATTTCAGATCATGTTTCCACATGAAAACATCTTTTAAAGGAGATAAAAAGCAAATGTGTGTAGCCAGAATTGGCATTTCTGACAGCTTTTAAGAATATCTACCACAGGACTCCCGGTTTGGTGCTATGGGCTAATGCACTGCACTGCAAGGTCCATTTGAACCATAAGGTTGATGGTTCAAGTTCATCAGTTACTTTTCAGAAACCCTATACAGGGTTGCTGTGGGTCAGAACCGACTCAGAGGCATTCAACAACAACAGATAATATACTCAGAATAATTTTATTGCATTGGGTCACAAAAAAAGTAAGCTTCTATCAAAAATAATACCTAATAATGTTGGCATTTTTTTAGACTATTAATTGGGTGAGATTTCTTTCTATAATGTGAATGGTAGTTCTCTTCTCTCTATTTTTAATTATAAATTTAGAGAAGTACTTGAGCCTTATTTCTATATAGGAACTGATGTAGCACCTTTCAAAATCTGTACAGTAACACATTAAGAATGATGAACTCTGTTCCTTTTTTTTTTTTCTTTATAGTTTAGCGGACTTAACAGCCAGTGGTGAATCTAGGTGCAACAGTTCTATAGCTTCATAGTTTCCCCTCTAAACAGCCAGGGTAATTTTAAATCTCAGTTTTAGCAATTTCTAATTTAATTATGAAGGAGCTCTGGTAGCATAGTGGTTATGATTCAGGCTGCGAACCTTAAAATCAGCAGTTCGAAACTACCAACCGCTCCACAGGAGAAAGATGAGGCTTTCTGCTCCCATAAAGATTTACAGCCTTGGAAACCCTGTACAGGGTCACTATGGATCGGAACTGACTCAATGGCACTTAACAACAACAAGAACAATTGAATTATGATGCCTATTTTATGGACCAATTATGGGATATAATTGTGCTTACAGTGTTTTAGAAATTGACATAAAATTGCTTAAGAGGAATATTGCTTAAGAAGTCTAATTATTGTCAATAATATCCAATAATTCTTCTGTACAAATTGCCTGTGTGTTTCCTTTTAAAAGAAACAGAAAGTAAAAAGCTAATATGAAAGGCATTCATGACTACTCTGGGATCACCTGCTCTGTAAAATAGCCACTTTCAACTCAATAGTCTCATCTGCTTCCTTCTATATTCTCTTTAGTTTTTTGTGTTGATCAGTATTGACAACTTACCATTGTAACGGAGTCTATTCTGACTTATAACAACCCTGTAGGACAGAGTAGAACTGCTCTATAGAGTTTCTGAGGCTATACATCTTTATGGAAGCAGACTGTCACATCATTCTCTTATTGAGTGGCTGATGCATTCAAATCGCTGAACTTTTATTATCAGCCCAGCTCCTAAACCAATGTCATCAAGGCATCTTTCTTAACTAGACAAACAAAATAAAAACCCACTTGCACTGAGGGGATTCCTACTCTTAGTGACCCTATTTAGGGTTTCTGAGACCTTGTAAATCTTTACAAGTGTAGATTCGTCTCTCTTCCACAGAACGGCTGATGGGCTTGAACCACCCAATTTGCAGTTAGCAGCCCAAAGCCTAACCCACAGTGCTATCAGGGTTGATGAGAAGAACCATATTGAGTAACTACTACAAAAAATGAGGTACATAGACCATACAACACAGTTGTATATTCAGTACACTTACAATACCTACTCATAATTTTCCCTCCTATTGTATTTACCTGCTTATCTCTTACTGATTAATAGAATTAATTTTTGGATTCTAATCTCTTCATAGTTTTATACATTAAAGATATACTTTTTTTAAATTTCATGACTTTTTATTTTTAATCTAGTGTTTTGTTGAACAGAATTTCTTAAATTTAGTATAGTTGGTCATATCAGTCTTTTATAGTTTGGGTTCTTGTTTAAGAGATAACTTCTACCAAGGCCATTAAAATATTCTACATGAGCTTCTAAATGTTTAAATCTGCTAGGAATTGATTTTGTGTTTAGGGATAAGGGGCCTATGCAACATCTATATATTTGTCAAGTGCCATCAAGTCTGTTCCAACACATAAGGACTCTGCATAGGGTTTATGAGAAGTGGTTTGTGGGTTTGAACTGCCAACCTTTTGGTTAGCAGTTCAGAGTTTATCCTATAATGCACACCAGGACTGGATTTAATTATATATAATACAGTTTTATTATCACACCATTTATTAAGAGTTCAGTCATACCTTCCCCCTTTATACAAACACACTGATCTGTAGTATCACATGTCTAATCCGATATTTCTAATCTGTTCCACTGTTCTGTTAATCTGTCCATGGCCAAACCCAAACTCTTAAATATAGCTCTTAAAGTTTTCTTATGAATTGGGTAAAGGTTTACAGACAAGAACATCAGGTTTACATTCAACAAATCATAATCTTTGTTTCATCTCAATGATTGCAATCCCCCCCATGTAATAACACAGCTTCCTCCTTGCGGTTCCTGTTTCAATTCAACCCACCTTCACATCCCCTCTCAACTTTGTCCTTAGGTAAATGTTGCCCTTTTGATTTCGAATGATTGACCATTCCATCATTCATAGTGACCATACTTTACTAGTGTTGTCTCCCCTCTACCTATCTATGCTTGGCTGAAAGTTGGGCAACAAACATGAGTTCCTTTCCTGACCTAAAGGGTACACGAAGGCAATAGTCTCAGATTCCTCCAGTCTCTTTCTGACTAATTTTTTTTTTCTTTTTTGACTTTTTTCTTTTCAACTTTCTATAATGAATTGAGTGAAGGTTTATAGAGCAGATCATCAGTTTTACACTCAACAAATCATATACTTTGCTTCATTGTTGTTGTTGCTGTTAAGTGCCAACAAGCCGATTCCAACCCATAGCGACTCTGTGTAGGGTTTCCATCCCTCGATGAAAACACTTCATAGTATTTATCTCTGTTCACTTTGACTACTGCATTTCTCCTTGTGTCTCCTACTAACTACCTTCATCTTTCCTCTGCTAACCTCCCTCTTATCATATAATGACTGCTCTCTCACCCATGTTAGCATGTGTCTATCCTCAGACCCATGAATAATTTCCCTCCCCTATGATCATCATAGATGGTTTCTTTTATTAAAAAAAAAAACAAAACCTCTTTTGAAAAACTTTTTACAACATTGTTTTCATACAATATTTGTATTTCAGTGACTGATCAATTTTACTAAGCACAGTGTTCTACCAGTTCAACCATAAAAAAGTTTCATCATTTTTCTTTAGCATTTTGTAGTATTCCTTTGTGTATATGTACCAAAGTTTATTCAACCAATCTTCTGTTGATAGGCATTTAGGCTATCTCCATCTTTTTGATATGTCTCTCTCTTTTTTAAAGCTTTTAATGTGTTTATTAGTGATTGTTTATAGGTCAGACCATCAGTTTTGCTCTCAACAAATCATATTTTGTTTCATTGCAATTTATTCCATGCGCAATCAGTTAAGAGTACTTACCTGTATTCCTTGTTCTTTTATCATGAAACACACAGAAAATATATATTTGTTTAACTGTCCAAAGGACACATTTTACAAGCCAGACTCCTGCCTATAGGCACATCATTCTCCAGAGTGGTTGAACCATTTTGTAATCCCGCCAGCAAAGCAGGAGAGTCTCAGTCACTCCATACTCTGGCCAGTATTTGTTGCTTTCTGGGTTTTTTTGAAATTCGCTGTTAATGCTGGTGTAAGATAATCTCATTGCTGCTATGATTTGCATGCACCATAGGATAAGCACTCAACCTCAAGGTCAGTTTGAACTACAAGGTCAAAGGTTCAAACTGACCAACCCCTCATTGGAAACTCTATACAGGATTGCTATGAGTCAGAACCAATTCCACAGCACTTATCACCACCAACAACAACAATGGCTACTGATCATGAATGTTTCTTCATATGTTTGTTACTTTCTGGATGTCTTCCTTGGTGAAGAGTCTGTTCATGTCCTGTGCCCATTTTTCAATTGGGTTGTTAGTATATTTCTTGTAGAGGTGCTATTTTCTATAAATTTTAATATTATTCCCTTGTCTGATATGTCATTGCAAAAAAATATTTCCCAAGCTATGGGCTTCCTTTTTACTCTTTTGGCAAAATCATTAAAAATCAAATCAAAACAAAACAAAACCTTTCATCATTAACAGAGTAAAGATTTACAGGAAAGATCATCACTTTTACATTCAATCCCCACCATGTACCATCAATTAATAGTATATACCTTTATAACTTTTGTTTTATGTATACCCACCGCACTGAAAATACAGGTTTAAATATTCAAAGGGTGCATTTTGCAAGCCAGCCTCCTGCCCGCAGGCACACTACCTTTCTCAGTCCTTGAGCCTATAGTCCTCTTCTGCTCTATCTCTCTATGCTAGTACCTCTGCAACCATCTGTTGCCGCCATTTTCTGGTTAGAGTTCCATGCTTCTCTCATGCTCTGCCCTCTTGATGGTCATAAGGTCCTCTGTTCCTGAAATGACAGATTAACTGCTACCCTCATTTAGTTATACCTCTTCCACATTTATAGTTGTGACAATCACCATTTGTTCTGGTAAGAATTACTCACAACTGAATAATAAAATCCTATTCCCATCATCCCTACCCCCTTTCACCAGATTCATCTGGACAAGAGGAAAACTATTCAGTAGAGATTCTATCTTACCACCACCACCACCCCCAATTCTGACAGTACATTCTTGAAAGCTTGTAAGACAGCCACTTCATGCCTTTTAAGCCTCATTTTTGGTAACCAATGTCTAATTTAAGGGTCTCTGGTAGCGT